AGGTGTAAGATTGTATTTGAACAGCCCCGAAGTAGTATTGCAATATGTTACACAGTTAGGATCAAGAGCTTTTGACGTGTTCTGTTGTTTCATCTGTTTGTTATTTCTAAATATTTTAAAAAAACTAAAATTCAGACTCAATGCCAATAAATACCCCTGCCTACCTTCACTCCCTTTTGCCCACCTAACGGCTCGTATACACCAAACATCTGCGTTTGTGTGGTATCGTGTGTGAGACGCAAACAATAATATATTTCTTCTCTGGGCCCTTTCTGTGTTCCCACCAACTCCATATTCATGCAGTGTGATGGCTGTCGTTCGTGCGTGTGGTGAGTTTTATGGCACCAATAACATTTTATCCGTCTGCTCTCGTGTTGTGACCAACCACTTCCCCACAGGAGGAAGATGAGGACCTGCTCTTTAAAAGCATAATCCCCAAGATAAAAACATTAGGTGTCTTACAGAAGATGGAGCTGCACAATTTTCCATTCAAACACTTGAAAAGGGTACACGCTACTACAGCGGAGCCCACAGCTGGTGCAATGGGACAGCTAGAAATGCGTCATGACCAATATCAGTACAGTGGAACTCAGATTCAACGAAGTCGCCGGGCCTGACCTTAATTTTTTTTAAATCCGAGTGTTCGTTATAGCAAACATGAGGTTTTTGTGTAGATAATTACAGGCACCGAGCAAGTTATGCATAATGTATTGGACTTTTTCATCCAAATTTAGTTTGATTTCAAATGAGAGGCCTTTTCGTTTCAATGATGCAATGCCGAAGAAATGCTAGAAAATACATTGAACGCTACCAAGCACACGCTTTACAAAAGGGCTGATTCGTTCAATTGCACGTGTCATCTATTATTTATAACGTATTATTTTGCCGAACAAGTTGTATTACTGTGTAGAGCCTATCATACGGCAACGTTTGATTCCACGGTCTAACATGCAATTCATTAGGCCGACGTAGATCTTTGTCAAGACTTGTTTATCATTGTATTGATCAGCAGCCGGGGACAAAACTGCTACATGTTTGTATCTCCACTGACATTCCACGCCCGGAGCGCTTGTGCCCCTCCCCACAGACACACCCGCATACACATTCAGAGCCATAACTCTTCAAAGATGAGCCTGCCGAGACTTCTATCGTCACGCATCTGTTTACATCACACCCATCCTTTAATCTACAAAACTCCTGTCCTTCTTGACACTTCAAAGGAAAAGGCTGTCCATGGCCATATTACGAATTTTTCTGCCAGATAACTATTTTTTTTATTTGCTGATTACTAAAACATATGGTTGTCAGTGGGCAGCCTTGCTATGCACACCCAAACACTCACACATAAACACATGTGCGGGTGCATACACACACACACACACACACACACACTCACACTCACACACAAACATAATTACATAATAATATCATGAAAAGCAAGCCTCACTCGATGGTAATTACGTTTACTGGGGTGACGCTCTCGTCTATTTTTTTTCTTTTTACCTTCTTTGTCTTTGTACTACATGTACCTGATTTTGGGCCTGGATACCTGAAATTGACCCTGAATTTACCTGAAATCGTTATAGATAGAGAGTTGTCGTTATAGAGAGGCAATCAAAAATATTACTAATGAATATAAGGAAAAAAATCGGCACCATGTCCCTATACTGAGGATGTCGTTATATCGAAAGTCGTTATAGAGAGGCTGCATTGCATCATTTAGAAATGAGGGGGGCATACACTCACCATTATTTTTCTTTTCCCCAGTTTCTTAACAAGTTCAATGTGTTGTACGACAAAGGAATGGGCCGGAGAGTGAGAGGACTATTTTTCTGATGGACCTTGCGGACTTTATATATAATATGCTATTGTGTTTTTGAATCTTTGAATCTGTGTACAAATCTGTGTACATATCTCGCTACTGAAGTTGTGGGAGGGGAGTTTGTTTTGTTTTCACCTATTTTTCATGACCTGAGAGGTTAAATTGAATAAATTGTGTTTCATGTGAACATTTTGAGATGCAGGGTTTTTGTTTTTTGTTTTTTTTATGTGTGTGCATGTGTGTGAGCGCATTAAAGAGAAGCAGGTGGTTGAAGGGAGCCATTGGTAGGTTCTATTTCTTTTCTTTTCCCCAGTTGTTTCTATCTGCCGCTGTTGTTTCTGTCTGTCTTTTTTTCTCGTTCCATGCAGCAAATGATAATTATTGTATCAATGTGGGGGCTTCTGAGGCGTAAAGATACCGTGTTCACCTCTCATTCAATATGCCCGAGGGTCAAAACCTTACAACAGCGACCAACAAATTTTCATCCCTAAAATGTGTTCCTTTCACCTCTTTTCCTGTTCTCTAGTCCTGTTCTGTCGTCTGCTTTCATCTCCACTTTCCGCCTCCAGTCCTCTCCTGGTCTTCTCATGGCTACTCTCTCCTTTACTCCTCTTTCCACTGCTACTACTGACTCCTGCTTACTGCTGTCTCTCAGCCATACCCCTGATTTTTAGGAAGGTAAGATTCCACGTCTAACCTTCTCAGATAAGAGCGAAAAGTCTTGGGAGATCATCAAAGATCACTTGGTGGTAATAAAATCGTTAAGAGTGAGTAGGCTTTGGTGGCTGGTGGCTACCTTGGCAAATTTCAAAATTAATTCCTACCAAAAAGGAAAATGCACTAGTTAGTATAGAGTACCTTCATCGAAACTGGAATGTGGCTGCATGAGGGCAAGGGGTCCCACTTGGAAGGAGAAACGGTCTCGTACATAAAAACCAGTTGGCGCTGCAGGTTGAAAAATCGACAGTCGACTACCCCTCCTGAGATTTAGCAGGGGAACGCTAAGACAAAAGAAGTGACGATGTGCCTTTCTTTTTGCATACAAATATGTTAGGACACAGGAATGAGCATTTGATTAATGGCAAGATCTCCAGCCTCCACTTGCTCTCTCTCCATTTCATTGGTGATTTAGATTTCAGTGCCCACTGCTAGTGCTAGTACATGTACTGCGTTAAGAAAGGGTAAACTTTATTGCCGCAGGATAGTGCCTTCCTAAAAGCAGAAGGCATTTATAGTTATCAATATAACTATAACTGTGATTGGTGCAATGAAAAAACTCTAGAGGCAGGAGAAAATGGTTATAAAAAAGTGTAGAAGTAGAACTTGAAGACGATACACTTGGAAGAGTCCTGGCGATAGAAGTAGAAATCAAATAGACTTCATACTTATTCAGAAACGTTTTACAAACACAATAAAATCATCTACATTGTAAATCAATGCCAGGAGCAGACTAATAGTGATCATGTACCAGTCATGTGTAAAATCCGGATACGACTAAAGAAACTCAAAAAATCAAAGTATGAACCTAAATTTGACATAGGTCTTTTAAAGACAAATCAAGAAATGAAGGAACGTTTCTCTATAGATGTAAGAAATAAATTTCAAGCTTTGAAAAACATTACTAAATGATTCACTAAATCGGAAGAACTATGGAGGAAAATGAAAGACTCAATATAATGGAAGCTGTGGAAGAAAATATCCCCCCGAAAGCTAAAAAAGCTAATAAAAAATGGATGA